CCTACCGCAGCCCTTAGAGCGCCTTGCGTAGTCGGAGCACCCTGTGCTCCGCTCCCTTGACAGCAAAACCAAGAGGTTGCCTGATGAAGACCGTCTCCGCCAGCTCGCCATTGAGGAAGGCTGATTTTACGTCTAGGTGATGGAAGCGCTAGTCCTTCGCTGCTGCCAAAGCCAGCAGTAGTCGGATAGACTCCATATGCGCTACCGGCGCAAAGACTTCCTCAAAGTCGATGCCCTTGCGCTGGATAAAGCCTCGGGCGATGAGACATGCCTTGTTCTTGACAATGGCGCCACGCTCATCCCGCTTGACCTTGTACACCCACTTCAGGCCGATCGGACGACATCCTGGAGGTGGATCGACGAGCTCCCAAGTCTCGTTTTCCTCGATCGCCTTCATCTCCTCCAGCATTGCCCGTCGCTAATTTGCATCGTGCTTAGCCAGCATGAACATGGATGGTTCCTCTGCACTGATGAGAAGTAGCTCTAGGTCATTGAGCAGCCGACCCGCTAGGCCTGAGGACCCTGTGCCACCGACGATGTCATCCATTCTGCGGAACCGCACCTCCTCACCATCGTGGAAGGCATCCACAAACTCAGTGATATCGCTTGGAGGTGAGACGAACTCGATCAGTGTCAATGGAGTCCCTTGTTCTACCAGAGTGGTCGGCACAGCACCTGGAGTGCTCGGCACACCGGCTGCAGTGCTTGGCACCACTCCTGGAGTGGTCGGCACCACTGCAAGACCTCTCGGCTCTGCTATGAGAGCGTTCAGCACCCGTCCTAGAGTGGTCGGCACCACTGCAGGACCGCTCGGCACCACTCCTGGAGTGCTCGGCACCCCTTCTGGAGTGCTCAGCACCGCCCTAGGAGTGCTCAGCTATGTTGTTGCAGTGGTCGGCACCTCCTCTCCAGCGTCTCCACCACTGTGGATGACCAAGTGCTCAACGACGAAGGTGTTGTTGAAGCCGCCAGCTTCCCCCATGCTCGGACTGTCCTAGTCCCAGGCCGCCTTCTCGTTGAACATGACATCGCGTGAGACAACCACCTTGCCTCTGCATGGGTTGTAGAGCCAGTACGCCTTGGTACCTTCCTCGTAGCCTAGGAGCACCATCGATTTGCTCCTGTCCTCTAGCTTGGTGAGGACCGGCTCGTCTTCCTGACGTGGCCGATGTAGCCGAATGTCCGGAGGAAGGACACGCTCGGCTTGCACCCATACCAAGCTTTGAACGACATCACACCCTTCAGGGCCTTTGTGGGCGCGCGGTTGAGGATGAACACCGCTGTGGTCACCGCCTCACCCTAGAACCTTGCCGGCATGCTTTTGGCCTTCATCATGGATCGAGCCATGCTGACCACCGTCTGGTTCTGCCGCTCCACCATGCCATTCTGCTGCGGTGAGTATGGCAAGGTGTGGTGTTGCACCACACCCTGATCCGTGCAGTACGCAGCGAACTCCATCGAAGTGAATTCGCCGCCACGATCAGTCTGCAGCACGCTCAACTTCTTGCCGCTCTCCGCCTCCGTGCGCGCCTTGAACTTCTTGATCGCCTTCACCACCTCATCCTTGCTCATCAGGAGTTGCAGCCACATATAGCGACTACAATCATCCATGAGCAGGAGGAAGTACCGCCGACCACCATTTGTGCCTAGCGTGATTGGCCTGCAAAGATCGCCGTGGATGAGCTCGAGAGCGTCCGCCGCGCAATACTTGGCTGCCTTTGGGAATGGCAGCCTCCTCTGCCTCCCAGCTAGGCAGCTGTGACACAGCTCGCCTACGTGCTTGATGTGGGGTAACCCTCGGACTATCTTCTCTGGCCGACCGAGTGCGTCGAAGCTGAGATGGCCGAACCGGGCATGCCACAGCCATGGCTCTCGGTGTGCCGTGCTGCCAGGCACACCGGTTGCTCCACCTTCAAGTCGAGCAGGTACAACTGGTTCCAGGACCTCTTCACCTTGGCAAGAAGTCGCTGCTCCTAGTCCCTGATCCTGAGGACGCCGTCCTTGATCAGTAACTCGCTGCCACGCTCATCCAGTTGGCCAATGCTGATGATGCTTGAACGCAGCTATGGGATGTAATATACATCCATCAGCACATGGTGCTCACCGTTCTGGCACCTGAAGATGATGGTACCGTGCCCTCGGATCGCCACCCTTGAGCCATCACCGAACTTCACCGTGCCAGACACATTGTTGTCGAGCTCGGAGAAGGCTGCCTTGGAGCCCGTCATGTGGTTGCTGGCGCTGGAGTCCAGGTACCACCACTGCTCCTGCTCACCACCCACACGTCCGAGGTGGACTTGGGCGCGTGATTCGTCGAGGTTGACAGCATTCAGAGCCTTGCCATGCCCTTCCACGGCCATCACCTCTCCCTTCTCCTTGGCCTCAACGTCGGGCAGTGCACAGAACGTCACCATCAGGAGAGTGGCCTCATCATCCTCATCAGCCTACGCTAAATGAGCCTCAACCTTCTTCTCCTGCTTGCGAATTGGGCACTCCTTTGCCTAATGGCCTGTCTTCCCGCAACGTCGGCAGGCGATGGGGTCGACCTTCTTCTTCTTCTTTTCCGAAGAAGCCTTGCCGTGGCGCTTGCCATCGCCACCGCGGCTAGAGGAGGCTTCCTCGGACTTCTTCTCCTTCATCAAGGGCACTCCTCCTCTGTCAGCAGTAGCTTGCCACTGTCCGTCGTTGCTGTGGTCTGCTCTATGCGCTCGTCCACTGCCCGCAGATGGCCTATCACATCCTCAATGGTGAGGGTGGACAAGTCTAGCATTGTCTCTATGGAGAGAGCGATCTAGATGTACTTTACCGGCACGGAGTGGAGGCACTTGGAGACCGCCTGTTCTTCGTCGATGGTGACGTCGTGGCTCCTCAGCTTGCTGATGAGCGACTGTAGGTGGAGGGAGAAGTCCTCCACTGACTCACCATCCTTGAACTTGAGGGTGGCATACTCCTACTTTAGCAGCTGGGCTGTCACCTTCTTTACGCGGTCGGAGCCTATGCGCATCGCTGCAATGGCATCCCACGCCTCCTTAGCAGAGTTCTTCGTTCACAACGGCTTCCTATTCTCCACTGGCACAGTAACGAGGATAGCCTCCAACACTGACATGTCGTCTTCTTCGTTGTCGGTGCCCTTGTCAATGGCATTTCAGAGCCGTCGGGCTCTGAGCTTGACCATCATGGTCACTGCCCACTCGCTATAGTTGGTGCAAGTCAGCGTCGGCCAACTGGTGCCGCTGACCTCCTGCACCGTGCGCACGATGACCTCCTGTCGTGGCTGGGCAGCCACATCAGCGTCACTGCTGTCGCCCATCTCCAAACCGTCCGTCATCGCCAGCGGTTAGTCCGACGACGACGATTGTACGACTCCGATGCCACTTGTTGGTCCCGAGATCTCCCGCACGGGTGAGCTGACCGGTCACCATGTGAGCCGACCGGTCACCGGCGTTCTCGCTCACTATGGCTAAAGGTAGAAGAAGGGAGGGAGAACAGAGCGCACACACACAGCACAAGCACCAGCGTTGGCCGGAGTTCTGCAGAGGAGATGGCAAAACTGAACTCGCTCAACTTTACTGAGTTGCAGTGGGAAGCTATATATACAACTCTATCCATCTAATCCTAGTACACAGACATGTTAGGTTGACATGCTGCTACAGTGACTAGATGTGACAACAGGGCTGACTTTGGCCCCTGCCCCTGCTGTGGTTACAGTGCGGCAGGGGAGCCTTTCGACGTCTGCCCCTGCCGCGGCTACAGTGCAGCAGCAGGGGAGCCCTTTCGACGCCTGCCCTTGCCGCTCGTACAGGGAAGCAATAGATTACTTTACCATTCGATTTGGGCACATAAAATCGATGCACCTAGACCTCAATGACGAGCAAGGAGAAAAAAAGTTTGGACCCTGGAAAGCTCTGGAGAATACTTGGCCCGGTCCCCTACAATATTTAGTTTACTGGTCAGATCTCCCTGTTCGTTTCACTGAAATTTAGTTTATACTGATTTGTTATGAGAGGAAAACACTTTTCGTTCGCTGAAAAGTACTGCTGCCACAGATATGCAAATTCTTCCTCCGGCTGCTTCTCCAAGTTATGGGCAGCAGCCAGCCTACAGCTACAAGGATGGGAAACAATACGCGTGAGGAACCTAAAAACTTTTAGGCATCTCTTCATCGAATGCCCCTTCTCCCGTGCTATTTGGGAATGAGTCGCAACATGTAGCCCAACCTGCAGCCATTCCAATGGGCCGACGTGTCGAAACTCGAAGAATGGTTTCTGGCTATGACACTAGTGGACTCCAAGACGGCGCACACCCTGGCAATTTTGACGCTATGCAGCTCTGGTGCATCTGGAAACAGAGAATTGTGGTAACCTTCAGAGACTCTAGGCGCACACCGCAGGCAGTTTTTACAGAGATCAAGGACACCTGCTCGGATTGGTGTTCAGCTGGGGGAAATCCTTAGGTCCCTTACGGTAGCTAATCATTCAGCAAGTAATTAATAATTTTATTTCCCTTTAATCCCATGGCAGTCTGTGATGGGTGGTAGTGCCCCCTTGCGCTTGTAAGGACGTTCTTACTCTCTATACTTCTCTCTTATTAATATTAGGCCGGGCAACCGGATCTTAAAAAAAAGAAACACAGCTAGGATCTATCGTTACACATCGATGATTTATTTGCATTGATCGAAATCCAGATATACGAGACGCATGAGGACGATAAGAGACAAATCCATGACCCCATGAACTCACACGAGAAAGAAATCAGCACCAAAATTTATTTGTAAATGGAAATTGGCACAACTGCACAAGACGTCCTTGTACCATTATGCCAGCGAAGAAGCGGGCCTTAGCTTTGTTTAAATATTAAGTATACAACTCCATTTCCGTGCAATAAGGAGGTGTCCTAAATCGTAAAAACCATGTAATGACTGTTCTAAAAATATATAACCTACTATAAGTTGTCGTCCAACTCTTGTCCCAATGTATAAACAAATGTAACCTACTAACCACTTACCGTCCCTCAAACACCGAGATACTAACGTCATTGATGGAGCTATTTTTATTTTCTCCTGTTCCTTGGACTTCTAAATACCATTGGGAGAAGTACATGGGCTGCTTTGGGACTGAACATAATGTGGTTTCATTCTCCAACATGAACACAACCGATGACATAAGTGGCCTATTATTTGGATTGTCTTGCACACACAAGAGTCCTATTTGGATACATCGCAAAGCTTCAACCGATGAACAAGTCCCAACAATTGATGAGTCCACGAGATCAATTGCCTTACCATCTTTCCATAAGCTCCATGCCTGCACCAATTCAACCAAGTTCATAGCTAGGATATCAGCATTTTTTTTACGGAAGATGTCTGCACGTTTTTATCTAAATGTGGAAATTTCAAGAATAGCACAATACTCACATAAGCTAATAAGCTAGGGAAGCTGGTGAACTGAGCCGAAGTGATCTTTAAACCACTTATAATCTCCAAGAGTATGACACCGAAGCTATATGTATCTGACTTGACTGAAAAGACGCCATCCATTGCATATTCAGGAGACATGTAACCACTACATAAAAAGTTAGCACTAAGTATAAACAAATTAAAAGAATGAAAAAATTAAAAAATCATATCAAGAGCATGATGCATGGATTACTCACTATGTCCCAACAACTCGATTAGTATTTGCTTTTTGTTGGTTTCCACCAAAGATTCTTGCCATACCAAAATCCGATATCTTTGGGCTCATATCTCAAGCTCCAACAGGATGTTGCTTGTTTTGATATCTCTGTGAATTATAGTCAACCTTGAATCCTGTTGGAGATAAAGAAGTCCTCTAGATATTCCTTTGATTATCTTGAATCTTGTTTGCCAATCGAGGGCTCCTCTACTTGCAGGATCTATATGTACAGTACTACTATATAAGTAAGCATACAAATTTTACATGGTAACTATAGCAAACATTTATTTATTTCTCGAAAATATGAGATTAACTACCAAAAAATGAAGCAATCCAAGCTTTTGTTTGGTAAATACTCGTAAATCAGCAGCCTCTCGTCTCCATGAATGCAGCAACCAAGAAGTCTGACAAGGTTTCTGTGTTGCAGTTTGGCAATTAGAACAACTTCATTTCTGAATTCCTCTGTCCCTTGTCTAGAACCCCTACCAAGTCTTTTGATTGCAACTTCTCTGTTGATGGGCAGCATACCCTGCATGATTTCATCATTCAAGAAATGTCAAAAGTAACACTTGTGTTGTGTAGTAATTTCATTGTAGTTACCTTATAAACCTTCCCGAAGCCTCCTCGTCCAAGCATGTTAGCCTCGGAAAAGTTGTTTGTTGCAGAGACAATATCTCTAAAGCTAAAAAATGGAAGCTCGAGATCTTCTTCATCGCCAAGTTCATTTGACGTGCTCTCCGTACCTGGCATTACTTTCTTCCCGCTACCATTGTTTTGACGTGGGCCTTGCAATAAAGTAGTATTAGCGTAGTCTGTAAGGATGAAAATGGTACGAAAATATCTCGTACTGAATCGCATCGTTTTCTACATTTAATCCGATCGAATTCGTATTTTTAGATAAATACGAATTCGGTTCGAAATTCGGAACATCAAATTCAAAATCGGAACGAAAACGGTTATGACACTTTTCCGGCCGTTTTCTACTTTTCTACTTAAAATTTGGAATATCCCAAATTCGAAATTCGGTTTAAACCAAATTTGGTCCGCTAAAAGTCCAGCCTTAGAAAAATTGTATCTTTTTCATATGAGCTCGGATGAAGATGATTTTTATATGAAAATTGTAGCTCTCGACGAGATCTACAACTTTCCAATTTTTAGTTTTTTCATTTGAGGTATTTAAGATGTTCAAAAAAATTAAACAAAGTTTTAGCGGTATATTAATCGCGTACCCGCGCTTGTTGCCTTAGAGAAATCATATCTTTCTGACATGGTGTCGAATGGAGATACTTTCTAAGAAAGTTATAGGACTTGTTAATTATTATTCACTTGTTAATTGTTATGCACTTGGTTCTACCGGTCAATATTTCGTATTTATTTTTCGTATACCAACCGTGTTCGACATAATTCCGCTCAAATTAGTTCGTTTTCGACATTCCCGATATTTCGTAAGTTCGTGTTCGTTTTCGTGTCTGGCTTTACCGTTTTCGCTTTTGTTTTCGTATTTAAATGTAAAAGTAGAAAACGGTTGAAAGGTTTTTCGACCGTTTCCGACCATTTTCATCCCTAATAGTCTGTTAACATATGCACTCTAAATCTCTAATAAAAAGAAAGTTGACTAGGAGAGAGAGACCTCCACTGCACTAGCCAACTAATCTCAGGGATCGAGTAGTAAAGTGTCTGTACCTCTAAGCTTGCATATCCAAACAAGGTACATGCCGGCAGCCGTGGCTGCTAGCAGAGATGCTGTGACTGGAAGCACGATCTTTGCCACACCCCTCCTCTTCCTTAGAGCTGCAGAAATTTGTTGAAGAACAGATGATGAACACAGGTTTACTGCTGATAGGAAGTGGCGGAGCCAGAAACTTTTAGAATGTTGGACGATTCTTCTTATGCAAGAATATATTTACCTAGAAAAATATAGGATAATGCAAACGAAATTGGTGCTTACCTATATCTAATTCAGACTTGGCCAACCTCAGGTAGAGACAATCCTGCCCCTTGTCTACGTACCGCATGTCAACAATGTAGTTCGTCCACATGACGCAGCCACTGCCATCACCCCCTCCTCGGATGTCGGCGGCGGCGTAGGCCACGCACGAGCAGTTGGCAAGGCACCTCGCCCTGCACTGCTCAACCGTTGCGCTCATGTCAACCGTCGCGTTGTCCGTGTCAGGGAGCTTCACTGCCCGCACCACCATAAACCCGTCCGTCGTCGTCCCGTTGCCGTCGCATTCCAGCGGCACGTTCCTCCGGCATCCGCCTCCGTATTGCCTCAAGGACCACTGCGAGGGGTTCACGGGGCTGAAACCCAATACGCAGCTGCAGAACAGCGTGGCTGTGGTGTCCATGTCGCACAGGCCGAACGCGCCGCACATGGCGTAGTCGTCGCAGAGGTCCCTCGGCGCCTGCGCGAGGACGTTCCACACACGGTTGGCGGGGTCCCATGCCAGCCGCTGCAGCACGCCGACCTCGTTGAGCACGAGGCGGGAGAAGGGCGCGTCGGTCCTGGCGTTGAAGATGTATGCGATCTCGTTGGGGCGGATGACGACCTGGTTGGAGTACGCATCCGAGTTCGACACCCTCTCCATCCCCGGGACGCCGCTGAACCATAGGCCGTTCCAGGGACCCGATCGGGACTTCTTGGCGTTTCCTTGCCACGAGACGGTGTCCGGGAGCCCCCTGGTGTCCATCACACGCCTGCAGTCCCCGGTCGTCGGGTCGTTCGATGCACGCCACGACGTGAGGGACCACTCCGCGCCAGTCTGCGGGTTCTTGCCGATTCTCATGCCGGCGAGCAAGGTGTTCGACGGGTAATCGAACGACTGCCAGAGCACGTCACCGCTGCTCTGCTCGCGCACGACAAGGTTGCCGGAGTCGAGCAACTGCGCCACGGCTGGAGCGGAACTAGTCGTCGTCGTGTTGGAATTGGAAGACCACGCGGTGTGGCCAGATGAGCCATCGAGAAGGCGAAGGCTTCCGGTGCTGCCGATGACCAGTACGCCCGAGGTGGTGTTGCTGAGGAACGTTTCACGGTTGGCCACCCAACAGATGGCCTCCGGCGACGCGGTGAACCAGATCCCGAGGTATCTCTTGGTTGGCACCCCGGTCGGGGAGAAGAAACCAAGGGTGAAGGACCCGCCGGCCGAGACCAGCGTTGCACCGTCGGTGATGTTGCTGCCGCTGTCGAGTGTGTCAGACGCGGTGCCGGCGGCGGATGTTGTGAGGCAAAGGATAATGGGGAAGATCAGGGTAGCAAGGCACAAAAGTCTTGCCATCTAGTGATGACTGATGAGGTTTGTTGCAGTAGCTACTGGCTCAAGAAATTTCATGGTATACTGCGGTATATGACAACGTTGGTGCTCGCGCGCTTACTACTTAGCACCGAGCTGGCTCGGCTCGTTTCATTAGTGTAACGAGCTAAAAGTCTAGCTTGTTTTCCAGCTCGAGCCAGCTCGTTAGCTCGTGAGCCAGTGCACCAAAATATATACCAGTAGTTGTAGCCCAGCAGAATGCATTGTTTTCATTATTAAATCAAAGAAACAAAGCACATATAATTAATTCAATAGTGCATTAATTTAAGTATCGAATAACCCATGTATCAGGTCCTCCATTCATCCAATCATCAAAGTATGCAACAAGTAAAGAAGAAACAAAACAGATATATTATGCAATAGGTTGTCTTGGACCTCAACGGCTCAACCCCATCTCCATGTCTGGTATGCATGCCGGTGCGGTCACCGGTCAGTGACTTGGATCTTTAGCCCTGCTGGCTACGGCAACATCGGCAGGCTGCTGGTGACCAGCAGTGTGGGTCAAAGAAATTAGGAGACAGAACGTGTGTGACTGCAGACCAGACAAAGCAGCAGTGGGTGACTGCAATGGTCTCCGGCGACTTCACCGTCGGTCTCACACCGTGGCCCCACGGATAGTGGTCTGGGCAGTAGGAAAAGGTGGCCTCTTTTTCTTGGATGATTCCAAGTGGGTTAGGCCATTGCATGCCCAGCGCCCACGAACCAGTGAAGTTGGGTAGTACGAAATTCGCACCATACGCGCTTCTCATTGGGCCACATCATCTAAAAAAATCTCAGCCGTCAGATCTCCGGCAGCGATCAATCCGACCATCAAACTAAGCCCTCCGATGCTAGAGTTTTCTCGACGCTGTCACACACTCACACGCCTCGCTCCTCCTCCTGCCATCATCCGTGGCCTCTCGACACGGCGCATCGAATCCTCCTCGCAGCCGGCAGCCGCGGCCATCGCCGCCTCCCTCGCCCCCTCCGCTTCTCCCCACCTGCGGCGCCGGACTCCGCGCTCCGCTTGCCGCGGCCCGCGCGTGTCCCTCCTCCCGTTACCTCTGCTGTCCCCAGCTGCTCGATGGCGAGACATGGATACGGTCGGCCGGCGACAACACCTAGCGCGGGCGAGCAGAGTAGCGCACCCCATCCCTCGGTTGCGACGGCGCAGCGCGCAAGGCAGTACTGCAGTAGTGAGGTTGTCGAGCATGCTCTCGGCGGCCAAGCTCGCCGTGTCATAGGGACTGCACTCCACCTCCATGGCGTGGGCATCGAATGCGGCGACAGCGACGAGGATGGACGCGGCTCTAGTAGGAGGAAGAGACCAGGGGCTTAAGTGCGTTGGTACGTGTGGCAAGCTTGTGGGTCGACGACATGGACAGCAGCTACTGGAACGAGCAGGCAACCAGCTCCGCGCATTTGTCGAGCAAATGCTACTCAACGGCACGCCATAACTCATCTGCATTGGTACCTGTTGTGCCTATAAGGTGGTCGACCAAATTCCTTGCCCATGGCAAGCTTCATTTTGGTATGTCTCACACATTTGGATACACTCCCTCTCTCAGACAACAATGATGAAACATTAGGTACCTGGAAGTTTGATTGGACTTCGAAGTGCCAAGTGCGAGGTTTTAATATTTATAATAGAAACATTCAAACTTTATAGTTATTAGATCAAGCATAAATTATATAGCTACCATATGTGAAGTATTCAACAGTGGTACTATTCCTACCATACTAATTTCTAAACAAATCAGTAAATTATACTTCTATCAAAGCAGAGGTAGCTTCTATAAAGTATTATCCTATTCCTATCTATGTTTAATCCGGTTAAGTATCATATTGTGTAGCATGCCTTCAGATCTTCGATTGATTTGGGGACAATTGAAACCCTGAAACACAGTATGTTATTATGGAGTGCATTGCTCGCCTTCGTCACCTTTTGCTCCAGTTGCTTCCATCATCTATTGCTGACTTATTTGTGCACATGCCTAATCTCTATCCATTGTTTTATTTAAAATGGCTATTTTGTCTACTGCAGAAAAATAAGGTTACTCCAAGACAATGAATATGCTATTTCTATTAAGGGGACATATCAATAATTCAATTCAATGCTAAATAATATGCAATTGCAGTGGTGAGGCACAATTTGAACTTCATCTCCTTGCCCATAACATGATTTGTAGCAAGTGGATGAACACCATGATATATAACACCTAGCCCGCTCCACAAATGGCCTATCGACATGTTAGGTTTTTTCTAGTCTCTCCCGTATTTTGCAGGGTGGAGCTAGATCAGTTTTTTTTTAAAAAAAAATAAGTGTATACGTATATCGTGATGGTTAATTAATATTTTTCTGTTTTGGCGTGCTGCACGCACTCTCTATTTTCTACGAAGCTCCGCCCCTGACATTTTGGATGTCAATCTCTACACCTAAAATATTCCGTGTGTTATCGTCGGATGCCAAACTTAATCGCTCTACCCCAGGTTACTTGCGAGTCCATACGTGAACTCTGCACCCCTCCGCTGGCTTAATCGAGTCCGTATTGACCTTGGCTTTTTTTTTTTTTTTGCAGAACGTAACAATTGCCCAACCGTTATTTGGGCCTGTGGGCCGAGCACAGTCGTGTGATTGTAAAACTGTAGCCCGTATGCTCTCCAATGGTCTGCCAATTTATTTATCCCGCTGAGGCAGCGAGCCGACGAACTGACGATGCCCCAGGCGACACGAACTGTCAACACCGCGATCCACAAGCTAGCGACGAGGCTGCATGGGTGAAGCTGAGAAGTCCGATAGGCAAGCACAGGCGGCATGCACGCAGCTGCTGAGCAGCGCAGGAAGGCAACGAGCAGGTACTTCTTGTTGATTGATTAATTGTTTTGTACTTTTGTTTTTCATTGATTCATATAATTGTTTTGTACTTTTGTTTTTCATTGACTCATTCATTGTCTGATACTTCAGAAGTTCGATGAAAATAATGATGCAGGGAATCCCAAAGGTAAGGAAAGACAAATGCCAAATTAAGATGTATGTGTACTGAAATTTGCAGCTTTTAAAATGGCAAAATTACAAAATTTTGTATTTTTTTGAAAATATCTAAATTTAAGTTTATACTTCTATATAAGAAAAGATAAATATTAGAATTGTACAACATGTTTGACTAAGGGCGCAAGCCACACTGCGTCGCTCTAGACATGGGCGAAAGTTCATGACCTCATGCAACGTACGGGCATATATCTAGTAACTGCAAGGTCCTAATATGGCTAGAGAAATGGTGAATAGCCTATTTAAAAACTCTACAAAGTACTAGAGCAAATGATTAGCACAACAAACAGTATAATCTAATTTTGCTCTAGCTCTACAAGGGTTGGAAGCCACCTATTTCAATAATTCTAGTAGCTATGATCACTAGGCACACACAAGAGCTAAGACACTACTCACTAAGCTAGTGTGCTCTCAAAGACTAACTAAAGAGCCACACCAACCAAACTAACAAGCTCTCAAACACTAACTACACTAAAGAGCTTGACAACTAGTTTGCAAGAATATAAAGGAGTGAGTAGGGTGATTATACTGCCTTGTAGAGGAATAAACCAATCATAAGATGAAGGCAACCAATCACCCGGAGAAATAAAATCACAAGAATTGTCAGGGTTATAACCCCGGGGTGTCTCAAGACACCAATTAGTTAGCAGGCCGCGCGGCCTGCAATGCAACAGTCAGCAAGGGCCCAAACGATCGAGGCCAAGCAGGATCTGAGCAGAGCAGGCCAGGCGCTAAAGATGGGGTTAGCTCCGACACCTTCCACCCCCTTTAGTCACACGATGCTCAAAAGACGCATGACCTCTCCCCATCATGACCCCCGGAAGGGATGGGGGAGGTCAAGCGCAGCAAGGCGTACCTGCTCTTACAAGAGCAAGCATGCCACACTGACCCTGCAAGGACTGAGGGGGCAGCAGTCACCTCGGTCGGTCAGACATCCTCCATGTGCCATGCCGCACCGACGAGACAACACCGCACCATGATGTCAACAGGTACGATACCCACTGTCCAAATATGGATCGACTGGACGCTTGTACGATCCCACCCACTACGGAATGGGATCCACGACAAGGGACTCAACGAAAAGGCCATCCAGACCTGCAGAATGCCCCGACCCTGATGATTGGGGTCGTGGTCCTCGGCCCCGCAAAGCAACCGAGTGATCGACGACCCAGGGCAGCTACCCACTTTGGGTATGACGCCCCTAGGAACCAGGAGACGATGACGAAGGCCAAACGGACACTGCGTTGCACAGGACAGCTGATGAACCGTCATCGAGGCTACAATGCTGCCACGGTCGGCATGGTAGCTCCACGTCACACCCTGCTCCAACATGGCTAGAAGACCATGACGATGCCCATGACCGAACGTGCACCAGAAGACGGCGTGGCTTGCTAGCCAAGTTAGCTAGGCCCTCCCTCAGGCTCTCGATCCTTCGGTCGGGAGAACCTCCTCTTCGTATAAGCTCTGGCCCCAAACTCTATATAAGGGCAGCCAGGGTACCCATCTCGAGGGTCGATGGACATCCTCTACTATTCCATTCATTCACCATTGTAGTAGGGATCCTGGAGCTTCTCTTCGCGTAGCCCTTCACCTAGCATAGGTCCTTCTATCTCTTCCACCTTTCTTGCACCCCCAATTGTAAGAACTTCAGAGCATTCAAGCGAGGAACACGCACTCGATCATCTCTGAGACTGGACGTAGGGTTCCGGCCTGAACCAATATAAATCCTCATGTCTATTGGATGCTACCATCGTCTTTCTAGAGCAGCGCGGCAATCGTATAAATTTACTTGTCCGGTTTATGAAACACCGACAAGAATGATACATGATTTTTCTCCCGAGGTTCACGTGCTTGCCGGCACGCTAGTCCCCCATTATGTCGACCAACACTTGGTGGTTCGGTGGCTAATAGGTATCACACACCTAGCCCACCACAA